ATGGCCTCCTAATAACACCCCTCTATGAATTGGCTACATTACTCTGCTCTCCTCCCCATTGAGAGCTGATGTGTGGTGAGCGTTCTGGTGCACTATGGCTGCCATCGCATCATCCAGGTGGGGCTGCACACTGGTGGTGGTGGAGGGGAGTCCCCATTACCTGTAAAGCGCTTTGAGTGGAACGTCCAGAAAATTGCTATATAAGTGTAAGCAATTATTATTATTATTATTATATTTTAAAAGTTCATCATAATTTTACATATCTCAGTTTAACAATATAGAAGCCATGATAAACTGTTATTTCATGCAGTTTGGAGAGTGAATATGAAATATTTTTTTACATAATTATTATTCAAGAGTATACTGTAGATAGAGCAGGTTTCATCCATATTTAGACAATGAACATGAACTCAATTATAAAAAAAGATTACTAGCTGCAATATGATATTAACTCCGGTCGAACCCTGAACTCTATTAACCTGTATTCCTGCGATAAAAGCATGCGTCAGTCCATTCCTGTGTGGAGGACTGGCACTGACAGACAGAGAATGTAACAGACATGATATAAGCCCGCAGGTCCATCCATCCAGGGTCTTGGGGCAGCCGGAGCCTGTACCATCAAGCAACAGGTACCAAGGCGGGATACACCCTGGACAGGACACCAGTCCATCACAGGGCACGCAAATGCAGTCACACACACACACACATGCACGCACATGCACCAGGGCCAGTTTTCCCAGAAGCCAGTTAACCTGCCGGTATGTCTTTGGACTGTGGGATTAAACTGTATCACATGCAGGAAACCCAAGTGAACACAGGGACAACATGCAAACTCCACACAGACAGCACCCCAGGTCCAGAACAGAGCCCAGGGCCCCAGTACTGTGAGACAGCAATGCTCACCACTGTGCCACCATGCCACCCAGAGACACCTGTATGCCAGTGAAACCTCCTGCACTCTGCCTACTGTGGACGATGCCAACAACGATCAAGACATTCCCGAGTGCAAAGTTAAGGCAGGTGAAATGCAAGTATTCTAGAAAAATAGATATCCAGCTCCCTGGTAACCCACACAACCTACAGCAGCAAACTCTAAAGTAGAACAAAAAAAAAAGAAGCAAATTAACCGTCTCAACAACGAGAACTCCACAAAAGGTCTGTTGTCTTTCAAAGTTTCTCTTATATTGGCACCCTAACAACAATACTTCGATAGCCTGCTTTTATGGCGAACATATATTTAATAATAAAGCTCTCCAGTAATTATATTGAGCTAAAAATATATTATTGTATCGCTATCGAAAAGTCGGCAACCGATGAACAGTCTATATGAAGAAGTGTTACTGCCGTTATGGTAGAACAGGAGGTCTACTAGCGCCACACCCTGCCTTTGGACGCGAGGTGATGCTGTACCTTCAGGTCTTGCTCCAGGCTCCTCAAGAGCTCGCCGTCCACCTCCCCGGTCTGCGCGTACCGCAGCCGCTTCCTCTCCGCCTTTCGCAGGCGGTACTGCAGGATCCGGCAGTTCTTGTTGGCCCGCTCCAGCTCGCGACGCATGTCCTGCAGCTGGCAGGCGTCCTCCTCGTAGAAGGTGTCTCTCATTTCGTCCATTTCCGTCCGCATCTCCTCGATTTCGCTCTGATTTGAGGCGACATTCGGATGGGGGAAAATCGGATTTAATAATAAAAACAAACCGTTGTGTAATGAATGATACAGCCGAGAGAGAGACGTATAATAACAATTATAAACGACTCATCGCACGACTTATAGACGTTATAATACAATATTATTACGAACTAGTAAACGATATTGATGAGATAAAAAAAACCTGCACTGTCACCCTGTCACCCCAATGTTTAAATATAATTGAATTACTTGCCAAGACAGACCCGTGTGTAATATAGCGAGAGAGACAGAGCACAAACGGCGTACCTTGAGTTCTTCATTTTCCTCCATCAGCCTCTCTATTTCGTTTTCGAGGCTCTGATCTTGCTGTGTCACATTCTCCATGTTGATGCCCTCTGGAGAAACCTCTAACTGCGGCTCCGGAGCCTGGACGTTCGCTGTTTTGGTGTGCATTTTACCACCTTTCTTCAGCCTTTTGTTTATGTGAAACTGAATCAATTCAGATTGCAGGCATCCCTCTTTCCAGAACCCGGGCCCACAGCCCACCGAAGTCTTACTGCTCTGTTTGCCGCCGCTCCCGGGCCCGTCCGCTCCGCTCCTCGGATTTCTCGCTCTCCCTTTCGACGCTCTGGGGGAGCAGCCGGGCTGGTCGGCAACTACTCGGCTGAAATCTGCTGTGGTACAGTTTGCATCCGTGTGCCGGGTTTCGGCCAGATGGTTATTACGGTCCTCTGTTTTCTTGCTAGCCTCCGCCCTGCACGTACCCGAAGCATTAGTTTCAGCACCAGCCGGGGGGACAGCTGCCGCACCTTTCGGCGAGAGCTTTTCCCTGCTGCTCGACGCCGTCGCCTGGTTACAGTTGCGGTTGTTTTTCGGCCCCTGTTTGGCGGCGACACATTTAGAGATCGCCGAGGCTTTGGTGGCTAATCTGGACGCCCCGTCTCTGAATCTAGCTGGAGACGAAGCCCGGTGTGGTTTTCTGTTGCTATTGTCTGACTGGCAGCGAGAATCAGCAGCGCCGCTTGCGGCGGGGTTCATGGTGTCATCTGGGCAGACTCAATATTTGCAAATCATCCATCCCCTGTACTTCCTAGGCTGGGGGGAAAAAAAAACGGTAATCGAATGACTGAATTTGATATTGTACTGAAAAAAAAAAACTACTGCTACTGACGCAACATTAATAAAACACAAACTGCATATTATTAATTCGTTTATGTCGCTTCGGCTCAATTTAACCGATTAAGGTAATATCACTCTCATATAGTTTAGAATTTGATTTTTTATTTTATATTATATTTTTCTCATTGTAAAATGTTTACGAGCTCTGTATTCAGAATACGTAGGTGCTTACTTCACCCCGGGAAGCACTGGGGTTTTGAATTTGTACTTCTTTCAAATATACGGACGTAACTATACGTAAAACTAGTTTTTTTACAATGCCACCGTGTAGGTTAAAACTAACAGTGAACACGCAACCCTATTTGCTGATATACACATATCTAGTTTATACACGAGGCATGTGCTATATCGATCCATATTGTGAATACCCGTTTTTCTTCTGTCTTGTCAGTGATTCGAGTCATGACTCAAACACTGAGGTAAACCAACACAGCAGGAAATGAAATTCGACGAATATAACGTCATAACGTAAAAAGCTCACTTCGCTAGAGACAGGGATAATTTTGTTTCCGTTAATGTTTGTTGACAGAAACTAAACATTGTAAGGATAGTCTTCCGAGATTTCTGTCGCATTTGTATTCTGCTGGCTTGTATTTTACATGTCTACAGAATTTTAATATTTCTTATGTAGTTCAATTTACAGTTTCCAACCCAGCTAAACTACATCTATAGATATATTTAACGCAAATCATCGACTCACGGATTAAATACAATATAATATTTGTCAGGAAACTTTTCTGGATTATTTATACTTTTATATATCAATAAAATATTCAGTAACAAATTGTTTTTTACCTTGGTTCATAAAAATAAGGAACATTTCAGAGAAAACCATGTCGATTAAAAGACGTAAGAGCCCCAAATCATCTTTACTTCACGCTTTTGTTTCAGGTGTATTTGAAACTGTAACCTTAGCATAAGGTGCAGATTCACATATTGTAGTGCTGCCATTTGTGCCATTTTAACGGCTTGGAAAACTATTGATCATTGAATACTTTATTGATGTACAAAGTATAAATAATCCAGAAGAGGCTGCTTTTTTTTTTACATTTTGTGTTGTATTTAACCCGTTTATCTATAGTGTATTAAAAACATTTAAAATCATTAGCTGAAAATAAAAAAGAAAGTCATGAGACAAAACTCTAAAAGCGATAGTACAGAATTACAGTACCTTGCATTATTCATGCAAGTCCTTCCGAATACCACCATGTGCGTGCAGAAGTTGTTCTAGAGTATTTTTTTTTAATCGAGAATTTCACTGTGGGGGATCTTTGGCCTGGAGTAGGCTTTATGACATTACTGTAAATGGCCAGAACAGTCGAAGAGAAATGGGAGACGGTGATCTAGCGCATTCTGTTGTTTATCAGTCCAGATTGTGGACCAGAGTCAGGACTTTCTCACAAGGAACAAAGGGATGTTGCGCAATAAGTCAACAAAAGTAAAGAAAATACTCCAGGCAACCGATGTAGATGCAGATGTTTGAATTCCGTCCATTGTACACACAGATGCTGAAGTGAGATCTACTTTATGATAGAGCCGCGCGGTCACGTGACTCCAGCTTGCCCGCTGTTCAATTTGTGCAGGTTTTCCCGTGAAGCAGGAATTAACATCCACGAATGGTTATTGCTACATATCGCATTTGCGTTTTTCCCCCCCTCCAGCACATTTGAATTCCTGTGTTGTTCGCTATTTCACGGGAGAACGAAGCCGGGTGGGTGGTGGGGGTGGAGGTTCATTTTAAAAAAAAAGTGCTATATCTGATATAAATGCGAAAGATTCAACTTTTTCTGTCATGTGTACATGTTCACGGCGAACAATACGGTGGCACCCATTGAGTTACAAATGAGGTGATTCGTTAAAAAGAGTTACTCACCGAGCCCGCTTGATTGCCGAACACAGAAGGCAGATGAGATGCTGACACAAGGTACCAGGCACTGCAAGACAACCAGAAAAGCGACGTTAATATTCATGACATGACGTCATCACAAGCCGCGGACGTAACGGGGAAGTGAGAAAAGGCAGTGGGAGTGAGCACTTCGTCTTCCAGTCTGTGTGATTGTCATTTACACTAGTGATGCCCTTCCTGCGAGTGTGCCTTATGTGTAAATATTTTTTTATATATTTTAAAATCAAATGTTAATTAATACTTACGCTTACACTTTTATAGCGCTTTTCTGGACACTCAAGTCACTCCACTTTACAGGTAATGGG